TTATGTCCGATTCTGACGCGTTCAATATTCAGCTCATAAATATTAATGTTGAATAATTGCGACACTCGGTTCTAAAACATGTTTAAAAAAGTTTAAATGTCATTTTTTTGTTAGAATGTTTTACTAACACTCACCATAACTTTTTTTTTTTTTAGTACTGGTTTACAGATTCTTTATACATGCTATGAAATCAGCTATAGAGTCGAGCGTTGCTTAAACCTTCATTGAAAAAAAAAATATTATTCTGCTATTGTCCTCATTTTGTTTATTAATTTTGACGTTTTCTTTCACAACGTAGATCTTTCTTTTATATTCAAGGCTTGTTTTATTTTTTAATGTTTTCATATTTTGTTTTGCAAATATTTACTGTAATTAAATGATTTATGTCATTGTTAAAAGTTTTTTGACCTTCTTTATGTCTGCCTATCTTGAGTCATTTCTTTCCAGTTATCTACATTCAGTTCTATTGCATCTGTTATCTAGTGCATCTATTAGACAACATAGTCTGTTGTATAATATTAGACATTTATTGTTATGTACAAGCTTCATTCCGAGGGTTCGCCACGAAATAAATTTTAACCCACCCAGGCCGGATTCGAACAAGCATTGCTATACTCGATAATGTTTAAGTTTCGGCCATCGCGACTCCATAACTTCCATAATAGTGTACTAAGGGTATGAAATGTACCGATGACCTTCAGTTACCATGCAAATGTTTATTCTATAAAAAAAAAAATATGACTAACAAAGTATTTCTATATTGTTGCAATATAATTCTTTTATCATATAAAAAAAACAGTATCTTGATTATATAAATAAATAAATAGACTTAAGGGCTTATTTATCAGCTGTTTGTTAATAAGCAACAGTTGACTGAATGACTAACTCCAATTTCAACATTTTTTAGTGATATTTCTAGTGAGGAAATTCATACCTTTATTCACAGTAGAATATTTTAACACTGCAATCACCAACTCAAGAATCAACTTACTCATTGTTTGTACAGATATTATAAATTATTCAACTAGAAATATCACTAAAATGACATAGGAGTTGGTCATTCTGTCAACTGAAAGCTCCACATTGTTTATTCATAAGCTTGTTTCTACTAAATTATTTGTTATTCGTTTCTTAATCAATTCCAGGTATCGCTACATAACCTTTACGAATGGTTGGAGTAAGTAGATCAGGAAGCGAGTAAGGAAATTTCAACTATCGCTCAGACTCTTTATATTCTGACAGATGTATTCCTTCCTGGAAGAAGACATAGAAGGAGGAACATTAAGGATAGAATTCCGAACAAAGGCCTTTGTGATCCTGGACCTAACAGGGCTATTGTGTCAGTAATTGAAGCCTGGTCCATCCATCACCTTACTCAGGATCCCAGGATCATCCTGTAGGATATCCTCAAAGGGTTGTGTCGCTATTCCATCCCCGAGTTCTTACTTGTGTAAGGGAGAGCAGAGCTGCTTAGCAACATTTTTCACCTTTTGATTTTTCATACTGATCGTTAGTGTTGCCCAAAATCGGTCTTGTTCTTCCACTTTGCAAGAACAAGACCAAGGACACCTAACTGTTACAAGACCAAAAACAGGCCTGGTAAAAAAAATTAAGGCAAAATAGTTACTAATACTTGAACATCTTAGATACTATATATTAATAATTGATATAACCAATATACTTTTGCATTTAACTCCTCTAATTTTTCTTTCGGGTTTAGTTAGGTTCCTCCTATGTAAAAAAATACAGTAATATCTCTATAATAATAAGCTAATAAGTAGCTGCAAGACTGTTGCCAGACTTTTGCGCAAGACCAAGACTATGACCGGGACTGAGTTTGCAAGACCAAGAATCGTCTCGGTCTCGCATTTAGGCAATACTACTAATAGTCCGTGGTACATGTCTCTTTTTATCAAATTATTAACATCCACCTGAAACTTCGTAAATAGCTTCATCTCATCGTAACCTACAATTATTTTATTTACGAAAATTCTCGAAATTGGGGCGTTTTCAATCTGGAGGTCGGCAAACTTTCTTTATTTAATTGTGTACTGAAAACTCATAAATGCCCATTTGCTTTCAACTTGAATCGTAAGATAACTTGAATACAAAGTCGAGTAAAAGGATGACCTTCAAAAATAATGAGCCGTTTACTGTGACCTACAACTAGTGTTGCCCAAAATCGGTCTTGGTCTTGCCGCCTAAATGTTGCAAGACCAAGATTAGGACTGGTAAAAAAAATCGATTTTTTAAATAAAAATTAAGGCAAAACAGCTACTAATATTTGAGAATCTTAGTTACTATATGTTAATAATTGGTATGACCAATATACTTTTGCATTTAACTCCTCTAATTTTTCATTCGGGCTTAGTTAGGTTTCTCCTATCTAAAAAAATACAGTAATATCTCTATAGTAATAAGCTAATAAGTAACTGCCAAACTGTTGTGAAAATCTTGCGCAAGACCAAGACCATGACCAAGACTGAGTTAGCAAGACCAAGACTCGTCTCGGTCTTGCATTTGGGCAACACTACCTACAACCCCACATTGTGAAAATAACGAGATTAAATAGGCCAAACGGCTCAAATTTTTGAAGGCCATCTTTTTTATTGACTTTGTTCTCAAGTTATATTTCGATTGAAGTTGAAAGCAAATGGTTATTTACGAGATTTCAGTACCTATTTAATAGACTAAATTTGCCGACCTCCAGATTGAAAACGCCCCAATGCCAAGAATTTTCGTAAATGAATTATTTGTAGGTTACGATGAGATAAAGCTATTTACGAAGTCTCAGCAAAAAATGGAATTAAAATTTTGCGATTTTATCTAAGCAAATATTATAGAATTGTTGAAACTAATGTGATTGTTATGAACTACTCTTACGAATAGCAGAGTTCATTTTAACAAATTTCATTCCATGATATTTGTTAAAATTAAATCCTAAAATGGTGATTTTTGTATTTAAAAAAACAAAAAACTAAGTGCTTTATACACACGATAGATAATTAATAATATGAAATGTAAATTATGAATAATAGCTCATTATAACGAAGATGAAATGCTTAACAATTCCCTAGCTTACAGTATGCAGGTCCGATTTTTAGTTTCTGAGATATTTTAATTCCTATCTTCAATAAAACTCATTATCATTTGGTTCTCAACAATATTTTTTATCTTTCCGAGTTCCTAACACGGCGTCAGGTTAAGACGCAATTGTGAATAATAGCTCATTATAAAGAAGATGAAATGCTTAACAACTCCCTCGCTTACAGCATGCAGATCCTATTTTTAGTTTCTGTGATATGTTAATTAATAAGCAAAAACACTTCAATTATTCGAAACTTTACCCTTGCGTTACACATAGGAGATCTGACGTCTTAGTATAATTCACTCTCTACAAAAACAGTGCAAAGCACGCCTATTGATGTTTTTACTTAAAAATAAACATATTTCACTTAACAATAAACAAGTTTAAAATACCGTTTCTCTTGAACTATCTAGCATAAAGATCTATAATTAAAACTGCTAAAATTCACTACAAAGTATTTTATCTCATTTTAAAAAATTTCAATTTTGTCTGCTGGAGACACAGATACTTATGGTTAAAATTGATCCAATTCAAAAACCGCTGTAATCAAATCAAATCCAATAAAAAAAATAAAAAAAACGCCGAATTATTTCACAATGGTTTATTATTTCCAAACAATTATACATGTAAAGTAACATTACCTTGATAGTTACAAAGAAAAATAAATAAAAGGTGATTCCAATTATTATATTAAACTTTATTTTTTAATCATCTCATCATGTAATATGCTAAAAAAAAAAATAGTATTAGTTCAGTAACACATTCAAAATTTGAAAACCAAACCAAGGATATAACATTTGGGGTAGAACATATAAAAAAAAAAAAAACCGGTGACCATATCTCTGCTCCTAATTGTCCGATTTTAACGATATTTTTTTTGTTTTTTAGGAAATTTCGTAAACTTTTAAAAAACTATAAACCAAAATATGTAAAAACCGCGATATATCAACAAAAAAGTAAAAACTTTTCGAGTTATTCGTAATTTAATTTTACCATCCCTCGTAACATTTTTTCCAGCTTCTTTTCGTTGAAGTATGTTATATAGATATATTTAAAGGGCGTCGATAAAATGACTTTAGCGAAGTATCGTTGAAATCTGTACATTCGTTTAGGAGCTATAGTCTATAGCAACGCCTGTTTTTCGGCCGCCATTTTGAAAGTAAAAGGCAGAAAGTAATGTCGATGAAGGAGGATCATCCTCGGGTGACCTTTGATTTTATATCAAAGTTTGAAAAAAATCGGTCCAGTAGTTTCGGAGAAAATGTACGGACGGTGGACGGACAAAAAAATTTTTATTCATTTTTCGAATTCTATGCGTCCTGAAACGTGAAACTTTTCAAAAAAAAAAAAAAAAACACGAGACATGAGTGCATGTGGCTAAAGTGTCCCGATCAATCTCCGTTGGCTTTAGTACCAGTGATATGGTTGAGAGAGAAGAGCAGGGTTTTCCTGGAGTCCAGCTTTTCCCTCTATAGTTGATGGGACAAGCCTGCCTCGAAGTTGCCACGCCTGATTGTAAATAAGCATAATTTTTAAGTTATTTTATTTTATTTTTTCTGATCATACCCTAGTACCCTTCATAATTATAACTAATGTCCAAGTGACAGATTGTTGTAATACTCTATAAATAAATAAGTAGTTTAAAAAAAAAAACGACAAAATTGGACTTACCTCCTTTTCTCTTCGAAATCAGCCTTTACGTCAAATACATTTTTTTTGTTGGAAATTTTCTCTAGAATCACCTCTCAGAGTTTGGACATTAAGAACTGCCAAATCCTGTATACTTCTATTGTAGATATTGATTGATAAATTAATTTGAGACTAATTAATGAATGAATGAATGAGATTAATTAATGAGACTATGAAGAAACTTGAAAGAGAACCTAAAGTTCATTGAGAATTATTTGAATTTATGAGATATTATTTGCCTGAGGAAGAAACCCTGTCGGCGTACTCCTGGATGACAAGCATCAGTATGCCCCTGGTAATGTGCTCCGGTGACACATTCATATTTTCTCTGTGTCATGCAAAAGGAATCCTGTTAGTAGCTGGTTGGGATGCGGCGGAGGATCTGACGAGACAGCTCATCGATATTGCTCCGGCAAAGGATACCGGCGGATGGCAACATGACCTCTACAAGATATAATTAATAATATACTTCTACATGCGGAATTATATTAGTTAATTATAAGTCATAATTAAGTCACTATAATTATATATAAAACTTTATCGCCTGATTGCTTTGTTATATGTTTTTCAACGCACCCCAATGTAAATAAAAACTCACCTGAATATTCCAAAATAAATAGCGATGAAGCAAAATATTTTAAAATTGCGATATCTCTACTAATAGTGCATTGATTTCGCTGAAACTTTCTTCATTTTTTTAAGGAAATTTGAATACCTTTGAAATATTTTATCACAATACTGACAAAAATGTGTTTGCTTCTTGAGTTATTCGGAATTTAATTTTACCATCCCTCGTAACTTTTTTTTGAGCTTCTTTTCGTTGAAGTATGTTATATAGATAAATTTAAAGGGCGTAGAGAAAATGACTTTGGCGAAGTTTCATTAAAATCGGTACATTCGTTTAGGCACTACAGTCTATAGCAACGCAGGTTTTTCGGCCGCCATTTTGAAACTAGTAGGCGAACAGTAATGTCGTTGAAGGAGGATCATCCTCGGGTGACCTCTAATTTTATATCCAAATTTGAAAAAAGTCGGTCCAGTAGTTTAGGAAAAAATGCGCGGACGGCGGACGGCGGACTAGTAGTGCATATATTAGAGAAAGTGGTGGACAGAATTCAATAAAATTGACACTAGATTATTTTTTTTACCAAATTCTACCTTTTATCTAACTTTGAGCCAAATCGAACGAGCCCTTTCTGAAATATTGGCATATCTATAAATAAACGTTTGCGCTTTCGTAAGCGGAAGTGCTAAATGGAATTTGATAAAATTGATATGGGACCATCTAGGCACCAATCAGCATAATCTCTAAAAATTTCATGAAGATTGGATGAACGGTACTAGGTGATATGCCGGTCACATCGATTTGACTGCAGACAGACAGACAGACACCAAACCAAATTTGATCCTTGATATCTGAAACGTAAAACGCGAGTGGAAATTTTCGATTCAGAGCAAACAATTTTTTTTAATCTTTCGCACGAACACAATGCTTCCCTACCTTCGGTAGTGAGGAAGCAAAATCAAATTAACTACCTATCCAAAAAACCTTCACTCTACTAAGTTTTGCCTACAAAAAATAAAAAAGAGAAGTTATGTTTTAAGTATTATCTTGTCAAGAAAAAATAGAACACATAAGTAAAACGAGAATTTGATAAATTCTTTTTTGAATTATATAGATAACAACACTCATATTTCTTTAAAATTTCATGAAAGCAAACTAGAGACCAGATTATCATGTTATTATTATGTTATTGCACATTTTGTTCGCTTATGTTTTAAAACTTCAAACCCGACAATCTATCCGTTTCACGATCTGTAGAATAACATATTGAAATTTCATTTTGCACGAAATTGCACGTTTTGTCCTTTTTCTGCTTAATTGCACATTTTTGATTTTTGTTGCATCATATTGCATATTTTACTATTTAAGGCCTGAATTTCAATTATAAGACAATAATGTAAAATACTTAAAATAAAACTAAATTTCCTTTAGAACATCTATTCGCGGTTTCAAAACATATCCATATTTATTTTCCAGTTTTCATACAAACAAGTACAGAAATATTTGTAAACAAACGTTTTATTGCCGCTTGGCTGAATGTTCTTGACAAAACGCCACCAGGTAGTACAAAGGAATATAGATTTTAATAATTAAAGCTAAGGAGATTAAATAAAAATCTACTGCTGCAAAATCAAGCCTCAATTGAAATACACACCGTTCTTTAAAAATATATGATTAATTTTTTTAAACTGCTATAATATAGAATTAGGTTAATCATCGTTAATTTCGAATAAGATTTAACATTTTCTCACGCTATTACACTTAATACTTAATTCAAGTTAGAGGATATAACCCTTTAAATAAGAGTAAAAAAGCAATAACATTATAAACTAAACAAAGACTATGAATTTTGCACCTTTTTGGTTTTTACTGCACGATTTCGCACATTTTGAGTTTTATATTTCACGTTTTTCGTTTTTTTGCTGCACGAAAATCCGGTCTCTAGTTATAAAACAGATGTTACAAGACGAGTATCTCCCGAGCATTTCATTAAACGGAAGTTAATATAATAAAATTCAATGTTATGAATTTTGAAGTCTCTCATACTAACACAATATATAGAATCTGTATGATTTGTTTATAAATTCTAGTTGTAAACACTGTTGTAAACATAATTAGAGTAGCCGAATATCTAAAAAATAAAAAAAAAAATTCAGAAGTTTCTCAGTTTTTTTGCATATAACTCGGAACGAATTGGAAAATTTTAGTCGGCAACATCAAATTTAATACCAAAACGAGGTGGTTGAACTTCAATTTTACTTTTACGAACTCAGTTTAATTTAAATTTACTGAAAATTATACGAAATCTAAGTAACGGCAGTAAGTATCGGCAGTAAGTAACGTTTTAAATCGACCAAACAATACAGTATCAATTAATTTTTTGAATAAAACCTAAAATTTTATAACCCCATAAAAATATTGAATTAACATATTCCCATTCAATATGATCAATGCCTTCCACATTTCACATCCACTATATTGTTAACAATTATTTATATTAACTTAAATTATTAAATGAAACTAAATGAAATTGATAATATGTAATTTATATACTATTCTCCAAATTTCCTCTACGTTTGGGTCAAATCGAACGAGCCGTTTTCAAACTATAGACGAGTCAAATAATACATTTCCTGATTACATTGATACATTAGGAGTAGTGGATAGAATTTAATAAAATTCACACATACTTCATAATCTTTTTACCATCAATAACTTCCCTCCATATTTGAGCCAAATCGAACGTTCGTTTTAAGAGACATAGACATATGAAGGAACACACCTTTGCGCATATATAGAAGTTTTTTTTTTGTTTTTTTTAACTTTTATTGAGTATTAATACAGTCTGCCACACTGAAGGGCATTGGTACTAGTGCTATAGTATTCATTCACACAATATGTACATAAGAAAGGGGAAAAAAAGTATATATATATATATATATATATATATATATATATATATATATATATATATATATAATATAATATAAAACAAGGTAATTAAAACAACAGACCAGCCGAGTAATAACAAAACAAATAAAACACATTCACACCTATGTAGAATAAGGAGAAAGTAGAGAACGGAATTCAATAAAAATTGATACAAATTATTTAAGGATTTTCTTTTTGTATGTATTTCTAGATATTTTTAAGAAACGACGAGCGATAATATTGAACTTTGTTTATGTTTTATTCAGGATTTAGCAAGCATTTATATCATGAAAATCTCGAAAGGCGACCGTGAAATCAACATGACAGATTGTAAATTAAATTGTTGTTGCAAATGCCATTATGGCGAGATAATGACACAAATATCCATTCTGAATCTGTGATGTGAATGATTAAATTTTTGATTGGTTGCACTCACGGCCAATTAAAAAATAATTGAGTTCTAATGCATGTATTCTAATTTCGTTGCTTTCCCCACATAAGCTAGTTATTGTTTATAATTAAGTAATGCCAATTTTCGAGCGATGAAAATTCTTTTACCTTCCATTATTTGCCAATATTCCATGGCTTGCTTTCATTCTCTAGAAAGAGATTTCTCTTATAAAACGGAAACTTTCACTTTAACTACAAAAGAAAAAAAAATTTTTTACGTAATACATCTATATATTAAATTGGATTATTGTAGAATTTTTGGCGTTGTTAAATTCTATAAAATTTACTACAGGAAATTTACGGCGCCCTGATAAACTGAATATAACTTGATAGATTAATTACGAGCTCGCGTTCTGGTGCCGGGAGGGGACTTTTAAACTCTTGCATTAATACTAGTTATCTCTCCTGGCCCGAGAAAAATCCGGCATAGCCTAAGAGCGAGAAAGGAGAGAAAAAAATAAATAAATAAAACGTCTGCCAAGTGCGGCCAGTTTCATTGGTTCCACATTTACCTATATCTAAAGGCCTACTACTCATAATACTACTTTTACTAATTCGCAATTTTCTTCTAGCTTTATTAAACCAAATCCGTTTCTGAAATATCAGCATATCTTAGAAAATACATTTGCGCGTGCACCAGCGGAAGTACTGTAAATGAAATGGATTCAGCATATTTATGTTACCAATTTACGCCTTTCTTTCAACTTTGAGTCAAATCGATCGAGCCGTTTCTGAGTTTGGTTCGATTGCGATCACTTTAAATGACAAAAAAAAATAAAAATCCCGGATAGGATTCTAATTTAGATCTGCAAACTACAAACAGAATTTTTGTTTCGTAACTAGCAAAAGTAGGAAGACTTACTAATCGAGTGGGATTTTAATAAAATGTTATAATTTATAGTTGGTAATTGGTTGACTGTCGTGGATAATGAAGAGAAGAATAGTTGGGGTGATCAGTCAAAAAGGAAGGCAAAAATAAGTGATAATATTTATTTTTTACATATGCCGACGTTTCGACCTGAAGTTCAGGCCTTCATCAGGGCTAAGAAAATAACCAGATAACAAGGTATGAGAAACATAAGTAGTGGTGGTAAAAAAAAAAAATAAATAAATAAAAAAAATTAGAAAAATAAATATAAAGTAAAATGAAATTGTTAGAATAATGACTAAGAACTAAGAGATAAATAATAATAACCGTTACAAAGTGTGGAATGATGAAGTAGGCATAATCAAAAAGGGTGAAATAAGTGTTACAATGGGAATCTTAGAATAAAATGTAAAACATAAAAAGAAATATGAAGTTATATAAGAAATGAAAATAAATAGTAAAATTAAAACGTTGAGAATGGAGTAGTTAGATAGAAAATTGAGATATTGTAAGGTCTATCAAGATGTACAGACAATGTATAATATAATAAAGAGTTAAAAACAGAGAAAAGGAATGAAAGGAAGCAGGGAAGAAATTGAGAAAGCTGAAATAAGAAATAAATAAAAGAAGTACTACCTGTCTC